TAACTGTCCCAAGGTGGATGTTTCTAATGGCTGTTGTCTTTTTGCCACCAGTTATTCTGGGGCCCAGAATTCTCCTATTTTGTTGACATCTCCTAGGGCTTTGTCATTTAAATCCAGCCAGCATTAAGGAAAAGAGAAGGTGGAGGAGAATGTTTGCTTTTAAAAGCCTTGGCCTGAAAATGGCACACATCACTTCCACTTAACATTCCATATGACACTCATTCATCTGCCAAACCTAACTGCAAGCGAGGCTAGGACATATGGTCTAGCTGGGTGCCCAGGAAAAAGAGGAAATGGATTTTGGAGAAAAATCTAGCAGTATTTGCTACACCACTTTAGAGTACAAAAGGGAACAAACCAAACCTGCATCCCCTCACCATCTAATAACATAGCCATTACTTCGTAAAAAAAAGAAAAAGTGGAAAAACATAATCTTAGAATCAAGGAGAGTCATATAAATGGAAAACAAAATTAACTTCATAGCAAACATTGACCCTGTTTTTCTTATTTCACTGTTGACCTATGAGCATGTATTGAGAAAAGACACTTACTTGGGTGTCAGCATTTGAGAATCTCTGCCGTATATGATGCCTGAACCAGGTTTTGCATCGTTCCCAGAGTCCGCCATGCTGTATTTTTCTCCTCCATCCATTGCTTGCCTGGAATTCCCTTCCTTCTGTTTCTTTGCCTGTGAAAATGCTACTCACTCCTCCAGTGGCAGATAAGGTGCCTTCCCCTAACCTGAAGACAGAATCAGTCCTTTGCTCTTGTGCCATTGCGTCACGCTGCTTCCACCCGTCATTTAATAGCCATCCCACACTAGTATTGCATACACATATGTTTCATGCATTAGACTGGGAGCTCCCTGAGGACAGCACAGGATTTATTAAGATCTCTAAGATAGTCTGAAAAATAAAAAGCATGTCTGTTGGATGCACCCAAGATGCTAGATATCCACAAAAGTGGCCTCATTTTTTAATCTCAATTTTTTTCTTTCTTTCTTTTTTAATTGAAGTCTAGTGGGACTTACAATGCTGTGTTAGTTTCTGGTGTACAGCATAGTGATTCAGTTATACATATATATTCTTTTTCATATTCTTTTTTATTATAAGCTTTAACAAGGTATTGAATATAGTTCCCTGTGCTATACAGGAGGACCTTGTTGTTTATCTGTTCTATATATAGTAGTTAATATCTTCAAATCCCAAACTCCCAGTTAACCCCCTTCTTTCAATACAACAAAACATTTTCTTTTCTTTCCCTGGTCATACAGGTGATCCTCACTTACATGATAACCACATCTTCCTGGTGGCAGTGAGTTGAGCTGAGCCTGGAAAGGCTGATGGGGTTTGATAGATGCTGATACAGGTGCAGGCCTGTCACGCAGACTGTACAGCTTTCTGTGACACATCCTGAGTTCAGGGTATTTGTTTTTTTAGTAGCTGGTCAGCTCCTTTGAAACAGCTGTAGTGTAAGACATTTCGTCTTCATAGATCATCATATAATTAAAACTCAGACTCTGAGCTCATGTTGGCACTGCTCTTGGGCGGTGGGGGTTGGTGTAAGAGCCTGATGCTCATTATCTTGAGCAGGAGTTACCAACCCGAAGTCCCAGGGTCCCAGCAGGGGGATGGCTTCACCACAGCAAAGAAGTGTTTAATTACAGCTACAGAAAGAGGAGCAGGAAAAAAATAATCCCTTTCAGGCATTAATGATTCAGCTGCCATGCATCCCATTACCAACCAAAATATGACTTCTTAAAGTGACTTTGTCAAGTTTATTACAAATAAAATATGAATTATAAGAGTTATCCCTTTCCTCAGTTTTTTCCTTTCCATCCTCTACTCTTATTCTGTTGGTTACTTTAGTGACTTTATAAGCTCAATTAGTGTTTTACTAAAACGTAAATCTGGAGACAGTTTGTGTGAAGAATGGTCCCTTTATCTCGCTAACACTGTTTCCTCAATGTTCAGGGGTGAAAAATTGGACCTTAATGAGGGTTTATATTTTTAGAGGGGTTTTAAATTCATACTGTCACATGTATGTATTCACCTGAAATTCTGAGTGATTATAGTTGGCATGGGAATTATTTTTTTCCATTATACAGATAGGAAAACAGCCGCAGATTTTAAGTGACTTGCTCAGGACCCC